TAATCAAGTAAATTTGAGAAATTAATTACCTGCTTAACGAAAGTTTGGTTTTGTGAAAACCAATTGGAATTCCACTGAGGCAAAACCATTAGAGGATTATCAGAAGATTTATAGACCAAAAGGCAAGAAAGTGTCACGGTGGTGAACAACAAGACCACTCTCGTCACATCTATTTGTGATCCATTTGAAGACGGTTTGGTTCTATCGCTATTTCTACCACTGGTGAGTTCATAACCGGCCGAAGAAGACGATGAATCAGAGCTCGTATTTTCATTGGTTTATTAAAATTTTAATTGAATTTCAAGATATTTTTGTTGGTCATGTTGTCTTTAGCTTCACCACACCCTTCTATATATATTTTTGTTTTAGAAAAAAATTAACGAAAACTTCATATTAGCATTTGTTTTTATAAACATATTTTCTTAGCAATTGAAATAATTGTTTTCTTACAAATATCTCTTATTTTATATAAAAGAGTTTTGTCCATTTCAAAAACTCTAATCATAATCAAATAAAATTGGTTATTTGCATTTTTTTCCACACCAAAACAACTGGACTAAAAAGATCAAAAATTGATCATAAGTCCCATCAGATCATTATGAATATTACTTAAGTGATCTAGGATCTTGTGAGATTTTTTTAGCATTAAAGGTGAAAGGTGAGATTATAATATTCAACCATTTATTGTTACACCATATAAAACATTGCTTGAAAATCTTAAAAAACATTGCTTGACAATCTTAAAAACCAAAATTCATCAATCTTTTGTCTGTTCTATTGTTTTCTTTGTAAACATAAATAACTATTTCTTGAAACAGTCATTCACTACAATGGAATTGTCAGAAATTCCCACCACATGGCTGCATTCAATCTTAGGCTCTTTCCTGTCCATTGTTGTAATATCGATATCATCAACAACGATGTTTTCGCAAAGCTTGATTTTGCTGCAATTTAGTGTTATAATATTTTCATTCGACGTTGTTCCTCGAAAATCAATGAATTTTGCATCGCTAATCGCCACATCTTCTGAATCCTATTCAACAAAAAACACACAGGCTTGTTCTTTAAAGAGATTATATATATATTTTTTTAAATATTTTTTCAAACTATTAGTTTTACAGAATAAAATACCTCTGCCGATTCAAGACCATGATACCCTTTATCTTTATATTGTTGATCGATTATAATAGGATTCATTGCATCAATGATGGTGATGTGCTCAAAATATACATGCCTAACATATCCTTCTCCACCCTTACAAAAATAAAATAAATATAAGAAATTATAACCAATATTTTTATGAGTTGAAAGGAAAAAAATTAAAACCTGCCAAGTTTTGATTCTAGCTCCATTTTTCGTCTTGTTGAAGGTGCAATAAGTAACATGGACGTTCTCAACCTTAGCTTTTTGTCCATTAGCTCCTAAACTTCCGATACTATAATTAATTATTAGATATCATAGTAAATAACCTTGTTGTTTACAACTTTACATAAAGTAGCAAAATATATAATTGTAACTTCTTCTTTTTTTGTCAAAAAATAATTATATATTTTAATGTTTTAAGTAGATAAATAAATTTTGGATAAAACTACAAGTATACTTTCAATCTGTTAAAGATTTCACAAATGAGTTTAGAATAAATAACAGTTATTTTATTTGATGACACACTATTTAAATGGATGCTACATCATTTAATATTAAATAAAAAAAACAATTTTGCGCGGGTTCGAAAGACATATTGGTCAAACCATATATTTCTTTTTCTACAATTTACATTAATATGTTCAATATCTTGGTTATTAGCAATCATTTTTATTATCTATGTATACATGGAAGAAATCAACTCATTCAAAGTTTTTATTTTAAGAAATTCATTGAATTGCATTCTAAATAATTGCACAATCTTAAGTACCTTATTCCATGACCAGGTCCACAAACAACCCTTGTAATGTTGATATTTACACTTCTAGTTTTTATAGCTATACAATCATCTCCTGGAATGTTTGTTCAAAAATTTTGTATTTGTTTTCTCACAAAACTTTATTGTATAATTACATAATTAAGATTAGTATATCAAACTAAATTAATAGTGATTACCAGTTCCAATGGAAGACTTAGATATGTGAACATTAGTTGAAGCGGATATATCAATTCCATCAGTATTAGGACTATCTTCGGGTGCAAGAATTTGTATCCTCGATATCACGACTGTGTCACAATTGTTGATTGATATATGATTTTGCGGGCTGTCTTTCAAAGTTATTCCGCTTATTCTAAGGTTATTACAATTATTAAAATCCAATGCCTGCACAGAAAAATGAATTTATGAATTTATTTATATCCAATTAACTTTAATAAAATCAATTGACATGTATATATTACTCACCGTAGGCCGTTTAGTTATTGTATCCTGGATTAGAAAAAAGTATTTATATGAGTTTGATTGAAAAAAGTAACTACATAAGCAGACTAGTTTAGTATAATGATATAGACTAGGCATGTCAAACGAGCTAACCTGATCCGGCCCGACCCAAAACCCGTAAACCCGTCTATATATAAGTCCAGCCCGGCCCGATCCAAAAAATATTCGGGCCTATTTTTCAAAGCCCGGCCCAGCCCGAACAGAGCTACATGGCTTTATGGGCTTTTTCGTATTTATATATAAAATAAAAATAAATAAAAAACAAATATTATTTACCAAAATAAATCCAAATTTAAACAACTACTGATATGCATTTATCGAAATCCAATTTAACTAAAAAAAAAAGTGTGGCCAAATGAATGCAAATATCAAATGAATTCAAATAACTATAAATAAATAGTACTGTCAAATAAAAAATAAATAAAATACCAAAGTCCAAGTAGTAGAATAAGAGTTTTTGGCCAACGAAT